ATCTTCTTCCTTATTGAGAACCTCTTGCGTACAAGGCCGCCCACGTGGATGTAGGTTGAGCGGCGGCTGCCCCCACCCCCGTGTGTCATATCGACCCACCAGTTGCACACATGGATTCGAATAATTACAAACATTTGACTATATATATATAGGGTTCAGCCTCCTGACGAGTAGGTAGGTGAAACTCCGACGAAACAGTTTGTCACAGCCCGTCATTTCTTGTCCTCTTCTCTCTCCCTCTTCTCCCTCTCTGCCTACGGTTTACCGTAGGCAGCTCCTCTATTTGACGATAGAGCAGTGTTTCTCCTCTGGCGTATCCCTCTTCTCCCTCGACTTCACTTCCATAGGACAATAAATGAAAAATGCGGCGGCAAATACTAATTAAAATATATAAGAAATTCTAGGACCACGTAACACCAAGCCTTTCGCGCTTTTCTGAACCCCTTTTTCTTCTTCTCTGAACCCCTTTTCTTCTTCTCTAAGCCCCTTCCCTTCTCCTCTGCCTTTTCTTCTTCTCTGAACCCCTTTTCTTCTTCTCTGTCTGTATTATTTACGTATCATCTTCACTCTGAGCCAATTTGAGCAAAAGCAGCACCTACTCGCGCTTGTTTTTGTTCTAACAACGGTTTCACTCCTGATTAACGACACATGAAAATGTGACGATAAATATATTCTATATAGTTCATACATTTTATATATTTTATATTATTTTATATATCGTCACAAACAGAACTGCCCGGTAAACCGTAGGCAGAGAGAGAGAAGAGGACAACAAATTATATTATTTTATTTATATATATATCGTCACAAACATATATATATCATATTATATATATATCGTCACAAACAGATATATATATATGTTGCGACAACATGATACACGAAAAATTTCGTGCTTTCCTTCCATGTGGAAAATGCATTGCCTATCTTTGGATGCACGTGCGAGAAGCAGCAGTTTATGGCCCCACTGTTTTCAGTATATTCTTTGACTCCGCTTTTGCCATGTTCACTACCTTTCCGCGCACCTTTTTTTTTTTCCGGCGCGGTTTTTGTTCCCGCGCTCTTCACTACTTCCAATTAACGATAAAATAAAGACGGGCGAGACCGCCGCCACACACATTGACCAGATACGCGATCCACTACAACGACGACACGTGTCGTGCAATCCACTACAACGACGACACGTGTCGTGCAATCCACTACAACGACGACACGTGTCGTGCAATCCACTACAACGACGACACGTGTCGAGCAATCCACTACAACCACATGACCATATGTCGTGCGTCAAAAATCCACTACGACATCGGACATAGCAAGGGCACTCACTAAGTGGGAGACGCAGGCAGGATCCAAACCTTACGTAGAAATATAACCAGAACAAGACAACCAGGAGAGGATCCGCACGAGGGTCAATCATCGTAAAACGACAAAAAACGACGAATCAAACGGATACATAAGTAAATAATCAAACGGTCGTCAGCTGAGTCATCATCATTAAAAGGGAGACCAAAAAAAAAAAACGCGCGGATGAATATTCAGTGGATGGGACAGAATCTTCAGAGGAACAAGATTCAGTGGATGTAAATGTGGTGTCTGCTCTTATCAGCAGCACTAACACTGACGGGGACGTTTGTCCAAAAAAAAAAAAAAAAAGTGGATGTAAATGTATTGGACAGGATTAATCTCAAGGCTCTGCGAGAGAGCCTGCCAGTAACGACATTGTACAAGATTGAGCGGACAAGATTGAGCGGACAAGACATTCCCAAGAGCGCATAAACCAAAAGCATCCATGGTAGACTCCCCTTAAAAAAAGATTCGAAGGAAACAAAAAAAAAAAAAAAAAAAAAGATTCGAAGGGACAAGATTAAGTGGATGGGACAGGATTACTCTCGAGGCTCGGCGAGACAGTCCGCGAGTGACGGGATTGGACAAGACTGTCCCCCGTAGCATTTCAAATGGTCTCCCCCCGCGCAATCCTCAAACAGAATTGAAAATAACATAAAAAATATTAAAATAAGGCAATAAAACACTGGATCAGGGAGAAAATACAGTAATTTCGACTAAGTAGGGTGGCAAGTGTTGGTGGGCTGTAAGGCACAGGGCAAGTGGGTTAGCCTCCTGATGAGACCGGATCGCACCCGGCTGAAACATGTAGAGGAAACGCGTGGGCGTTTTCGAGCATATGAGTACACGTTTGGCTTGTATATTCGCCTTTTTTTTTTTTGGTCGTAATATTCTGTGAATTGCGCGTGTGAAGAGCAATCGGCCATTGCTTGTCTGTCTTTCTCCTCTTTAAGTAACAACCGTACCGAGATGAAAAGAAAACAATCCATCGCAGCATCATTCCATTCTCCGTTCTGAGAGCGAGGAGGTAAAATATATATACATACACATCATCCATAACGCGAAATTTGCACGCAATTTAGACAGACAGACAATCTTGATATCATGGCGCACTCCCGCTTTTCCATACGCGACTTACAAGCAAACGTCACCGCCGTATGAGAACACTTGGACGCTTGGTTTATAATTTCTTTCAGGTCGACATCACGATGACCGGTCCAGAATATACTTAACAGTATTACTCCTTCGGAAATTAAACTTCGCTGAACCTGACCGCAATTTCGGCGTTTTTTTCCCCGAATTCGTCAGGGCTTACCGCGGGATCCCGACAACAGGACCTGACGGTTTCGGTTTTAAGAAAACGCCGAAAATGCGACCAGGAACGTCAACGTTAAATGCCCAAAAAGGAGTAATGTACTTACTGTATTACATGCGGTGGACATGTAAGTACACTGCGCGCCACGTTCAAGCAGGGATGCTTTCTCCCACTCCCACCCGACCTGGACAAACTAAGTACAGTCACTCATACAGTAATTCCAGGAAAGCCCTCCCTGAGTGTGTGTGCCTCTCGTCGCACAAGCGAGCGGAAAACATGAGAGAGACAGAACGAGAGAGAGGGAACGAATGCACTCCGATAAGAACGATAACATTTGAAAAAAGAGTACAGGCCATAAAAAACAGCACGTACACAAACAATAAAAGAAATAAAAAAGCAGAAAACACACAGACACACAAACAACGCATACAAAACACATGCACTAAGTTTTTTTCCGACCGAACCTAGACACAAATACAGTCCAAGATAAATCCAGGAAAGCCCTGCGTGTGTATCCCTTCATTCCCACAAGCGAGCAAAATAGATGGGCGGGGGAGAGGGGAGAGAAGAGAGAGAGAGAGAGAGAAAGAAAGAAAGAATACACCGTGATAAACAAACAATATAAAACACCCACACTCACACAAGACACGCACAGCAAACACATACCCAGAACACACAAAACAACAGACAAAAAATATGCACACACACACACACACACACACACACACACACACACACAAAAACAAACACACACACACGCAAACACGCACACACACGCAAACACACACACACACAAACACACACACACACACACACGGAAACACACACATACACGCAAACAAACATACACGCAAACACACATAGACACGCATACACGTACGCGCGCCCGCACACACACAACAAAGACAAACACACGCTTACGGTGTCCACAAGAGGAATAAGGGGTCTGACGAACGAACCTGTCCTGCGACGACGCGACCTTGGCACTTGACAAGCTCGCACTTACACTCCACTTCGCACGGATTGCCTCTCACGGTGACGGTGGGAGGCTCGGTGGTGGTGCGCGCGGAGTCCCCTCGAAGCAGTTTCGCAGCGTAATCCGGCAGCGTGAACGAGTACTCCCCCACCACCTCGGTGGTGTTCTCCGCGCTGGAACCCGCATCTCCGCTGGCGGAGAATGACACCTGCATGGGCGTGGCAAACGAGCCTCCGACGACCATCATCATGCAGAGAACAAGAAGCACACCAGCGGTCTTCATGGCCACTGCCACGTGTCGGAACAAGCCACTACTATCTTGTCCACGTGTCGGCTTCGTGTGGCGGCAAAGAGAACCTCAGGAAAAGACTCGCCACGTGTCACTGCACAAGGGACACAACGTGTCACTGTGTCAGCGGCGCTACGTGTCACTCCGCGAGAGGCACCCTCACAAGCTCAAGCAGCGAAACGGAGGAGGACACAAGATCTCGGCGATGGAACGCCTACCTTAGCGAACATAGGGACGACCGGAAGAAATTGTCCTAGTTCAATTCGAAAGTCACTGTCACTGTCGGGGGAGGAGGGGAGCTTTGGCTCTTTTTGAGGGATTGCTCACTCAACGGCGGCCACTCTTTCTTCTCCTTGATCTTGCCGGGCGGAGAAAAAAGAAAGAAAAAGGCGGACCCTCGACTTCACCGCTCACCTTTTTCTTTCAATGCGCAGGGGCCATGCACGGATGTCCCTTACCGTTCCAATTTCAAGGGGTGTGTCGGCGCGAAGGACAATGTCACCAGTCTCGAAATGTGAAAAGCACAAAATTGTGGCGGGGGCATCTGGCCATGTTCCAGCATTTTGCACATTTCGAGAGTGGTGTGGGGATGCCCTTGCTCCTCCCTGCCTCCGTGGCCTTGCCGCGCTACTCACCAAATAGACAAAAAAAATTATTGTGTTTTTTTTTGGGAACAAATAAAGAAAATGGACGCCATACCTTCCCGTAGAACGTGCAAAAATTCAGCCTCCAATAGGTTTTGTCTTTTTCTTAGTGAACGGCACAGCGAGGGGCCTTGCTCCACTACTCGTCAATTGTGCAACATGAGAATGAAATAACGGAAAGATACACCGGCATATTTTGTGTCGTTGGTGCATGTGGTGAGTGGTGGAGCGAGGTCATGGTCTGTCGCCCCACTCCTCTTCCAGCCCACACGTGGACGGGCTAAAAAGAAGTCTTTGTTTCCAGACCGTAGATTTCATGTTCAATGAAGATCGACGGTTCGAAGCGAGGAACCTGGGTTACGTGGGACCTCGCCGCAGACAGAGCAAGACGAGTGGTCAATTTTGTCAATTCAGCGAGTTGCACGAAATGCAAAGGTGGCACTGCGGTCAATCTATTCAAAAAAAACTTCAAAAAAAGCTGCACACGTGTACGAAAACGCCGTCGATCATCCGGGGCTAAAAGTCAAAAAGAAGTTGAAAACACACACTCAAACACACACACACACACAGAGGGGCCGGTCAGCGGATTACCAGATGCTTTCTGTATCTGCCGGCACATGTCAGGATCAATCTCTGTGGTGGAATCCGATCTCGTGCATATACGCTAGTATCGAGGCAATGTATCAAATTGGGTCTCGCTTCATTGCACTAGACTCTTGAAAATTAGAGAGTTCTGCCTCGCTCCACTTAGGGCCTACTCACACCAGGGCCTTCTATGGCAAAACAGCTAAAATTTGGTGGTTGGGCCAGTCGCACGAGGCAGGGAAAGTGGCCAAAGCAGCAAACGGGGTATCAAATGTCAGCAGCCTGGTGGGCCGCCGGGAAGGGCATTTTGCTACCACCTCTGGAGGTGGTAGCAAATTTATTTTCCCAGTTTGGGAGTTCCTGAAAGGAAATTCTAAACGAACTTTGTTGATGAAAGGGTTGAAGGATTTGGGCCTGGCGCTGTGTGACCACGCAAGGCACCATTTTCGCAATTGCCAGAATGTCAGGCTCTTGTCTCTTATGATTTGCTGCCGCCTTACACTCGAGAAAACTCTTGAAAATGTGTGTCAGAGTGCTGTCAGAAAATGTTATAGACACGCACTTTAGACTCCTCTGGAGTACCCCCGCCTGCAGTGCCCGTTTTCTCTAGGGTCCTCGGTTCTGGTCTTGAAACGGTGCTGAAAATAGAGGATCGACTGCAAGTCTGGGTGGACAAACCAGGCTGGCCGTGTCGCGTTGTGGAGTAGGGCTGCTGCAGACAGTTGAGAGTGCAGGCCCGTGTATATCTTTCCATGTTGTAGCAGGACATTCATTCTCAATTTGCAGATTTGGAGAGTGGTTGCCTCACTGCACTACACTAGACTCTACTTTGAGAGTTCGAAAGTCCGTCTAGAGTAGCGCCCTCTAGTGTAAGTGGAGCGAGGCTGACTTTATTGCTGTTTTTGAGAGTCTGACAATTCTCAAGGGACACTAGAATGTTTTCTAGAATCTAGAGTGGTGGAGTGAGACACGTTCAGAGATTTGAACACTTCGGCTCGATGATCAACTCGCATGCCCTCCCCATCAATGACATGTGGACAACTAGTAAATGTAAAGCAGAAAATAATGGACCACGGTTTCTTTTAGTTGCTTTTCTTATGAAAGAATCCCCAATCTCAATCCCAATCTCAATCTCAATCTCAATGTAAGGGGTGTCACCTGGCAAGTCCCACTTGTCGAAATGCTTCATTTCCAACCGTAGGATCTTTACAATCCACAGCTGGAAATGAGAGGTACGGGCACGTGGGACTCGGCTCCTGTAGGAAAGCGGGTCCTCGCAGACTTTAGTGAGACTTCAAAGCAATTCAGGGCTCCGTGTATGGGCCGTGGGCATCACAATTCAGAGTTCGGAGGGCGGGTGCCACCCATGAAATTTATCAACAGCAGCGCCGCTGTGAAAAATGTGTTGTAGGGACCCATCAAATTTATCAACAGCGGCCCAACCGTGAAAAATGCGGTGTAGGTTACTTTTACGACTTAGCCTCCCAGCCTAAAAGGTAGTGGTGCAGCTCGTACGTGCACAGTTCGCAAGAAGGTGTACCAGGGAGAGGGAGAGAGAGAACAGTTCGTGAGGTGGGGAGCACTTCGTTCTTGCTCTCGTTCCGCATACAGATGAGCCTGCGATGTGCTTTTTCCACGTGGCACTTGAGGAGGCGTTATGCCCACTTGCCGCGGCAAGTGCGACGACCGATTGGGCTTCAGGCGACGTGGCACACAGCCACGTGTGCAGTCATCGGAACCTCCAGTTGGCTCTATGGGTTGAGGCTGCCACGTGATCTTCACGCCCACTTCTGTACGGAAAGTTTCCGCCACGATCGACGTTTGTAGTAAATTGGCGTCCTTGCATCAGCGAATTTGACGATGTGACATGAACCGGTTGGGAGGCATAGTGGTTGCGGTTTGAAGGTGCGCTTGAAGAAGCACATGTCGGCGGTGTGAGGCCACGTGGCGGGACAGGACATAGAGGCGGGCCGGTGGAGACGGCCGTGCACGGACGGGGAGGGGTGGGAATTGCGGGAGTAGTTGTACGGCCGTGAAGGAGGATTGGAAGTCTGTGCGAGTCCGTGGACGGCTTTGTGCTCTTTGTGTACGTGGCGGTGTCGGGGCAGAAACCCTGACAAGGGTATCTGCCCGTGTTTTTCAACGTCGGACGCTGTCTGACCTTTTCACTTAATTAGAAGACTTGATGAGATTGACATTGCCAGAGTTTATCCGGACCAGCGCTATGACTGAAAGACTTGAACTTTTTGAACCTGACGTCGTCGACGCAGGACGACACCGACATCCGTGCGGGATAACAGGGGTTGGCACTGTCGTCCGCGGGTTTCGACGAGGCCGCGCTGGTGTGCGGTCGTGGGGAAACTAAAGTTGAACCTACTCTACCTATAACAAGGTTGCGCGGCTGTTAAGCCGCGCGATTCAGGGCCTAAGCGGGCCAAGAAGGGGGCGCCGCGGCAAGATGGACCGCGGCGTGAAGGGATGGCTTAGGGTCCATATCGCTTTTGCGCCAAGGACCCGGGGGCGAAGGCGTCGAGGCCGGCTAAGTACGTCAGCTGTTAAAGCTGTCGGCCGCCGACCTCGCCTGCCAGCCGCGGTAATAAGCCGGCTTACCAGGCTTAGCTAAGCGCTGGAAGGGGGCCTGTTGGGCATTGGGAGCCCTTCACATAGAAGGGCTGCTCTCCTCTGGATATGAGAAGGAGCTAGCCCAGTAGGTACCGCCGCCAGACTACCACCCTGCAAATTCAAGGATCGAGCCCAACGACTGTGACTGGGCTAGCTCCTTTTGATAGGAGCGGCCCAACCCCACCTAGAAGTGACGCGGTCATTCTCGGCCGCGCGATCCACTAGATCGCAGGGCCGAAATCGGCCGCCTGGGTGCATGGCCCCTGCGCAAGGATGACACGCATAAATCGAGAAATGGAAAATTTAAAATTTTTGTTTTGAGAGAGGGAAAAAAAAAAAACAAGAGTAC